AATGGAGAAGAGACCTTAACAATATAATATTGTTTTTATGATTCTATTCTACTTTACTTTACTCTTAGTAGTCATAAACGAAACAAGTAACCTTTTGAGCCTTCCTTAGCAAATCTCCATCTACAAAACAAATCTTGATTGGCCTAGATGATTCTGAGTCTATACAGATCATCTCTGCCTAACACTTCCTTCCCCAAAAAAATCAAGAACCTATAGCACAATTCCAAAATCGCTGTACTCATCCCAAAAACATACTAGCCTCGAAGGAAATTTCAAACCGAGAGTTTAGGTTAGACAGTAGTTAGCACAGGGTCAAGTGTTGTCACTCAATTTCCCAACCCCCAGAGATTGGAAGGAGGCACCATAATAATTGCAAACCCGTGACGCCTAACTTCAGAGCTGGTCGCAGTGCCCCAAACGGGTTTCGCATAATTCAAGAATACCGTAGCATTCCTATTTTCTACGCTTATCATGATCGTAAGCTCCGAATGCCTCTGGCAGTACATGGGTATTCAGTGACTTCCTTCCAAATCCTGTCTTGGGTATTTTTATTTCATTACTGACATTCATGTTGTGGTTGCTCATTGGCAACTAAGTTAGTGAACGTCCGTGATTCCTCTTCCCTTGTCTATCGACTCCTCTGATCCTCTGGTTGAGACACCTCGTCAGGGATAACCACATTTTAATTCATTCATCCTTGCTAGACAATGCTCCCATATTCCGTTTCGTCCGTTTCCTTCCCTCCAGCATCAGGAACATAATTCAAAAAAAAAAAAATACAACACATAACGACGGAACCATAGTCTAATAGCATAACATCATGACCCCGGAAAACTCGTTTTCCCCAGGCTCCAAAGCTCAGTCCTCCTCACGAACAATATCTAGTTCCCAGAGAGAAAATTAAAAAAAAACCCACTTGCCCTCAGATGGGGCGGGGGCGGGGTGGGGGAGTGAGGGCGGAGAGGGATATAAGGTCTAATGCAAAAGTTATGATAATAATAATAATTATTAATAATATTATGATAGATGTTTGGTCCCTCTCTACCCTCACTCCTCCCGCCCCACCCTCTCTGCGGACATGTGGTAGCCCCGAAGAAGGACGCAGCGCGAGGCCACGCAGTATGATACGTGAACCTTTTTGCTAGTGAGTACGGCAAAATTCTGAAAAGGTACAGCCCTCTGTGCCTAGGAAATTCACTAGTTTTTGACTGGCCTGGCTGGTATGTTAAAATTTGGCACAATTGGCTGCGGTGGGCCGCGCGGGGAGTGGGTGGTTTGTAGGGAGTGATAAGGTATGAATATCGTTAAAACTCGAACCGGCTATACTTTCAGTATTAGTGCACGGGTTCGCCTATCTCAGTGATATAACAGGCACTTCCTTCGAGGTCCTTCCCTGCGCGTACCCAGCCTAAGAGGTTATCACAAATACATATCGCCCCTTCCGCGAGGATATATTTCCTCCACACACCAGTGACGATCCTTCCGTCCTCTGTCCGGCCCCCATTCCCTCCCCATTCTCTGGAGCACGGCTAATACCCGAACGGCGGTGAAGTCGAATCACAAACCAGCAAGTGAAGTAAGACAAGTTAAGACCTTAACTCATTTCCACATATTTCAGTCCGTCCTCCAGAGGACTGCGCAGTACTCGTAAAGTGACAGACAGACATAATCAAGGCATGCCAGCCCCAAGCCAAGCACTCTTCAGCAGAATATCTCCTGGGCACAATGAATGCACTCGTTATTTCCCCTCCATCTCCCAGAAAGCTTTAACCCCCACCCAGTGGTCAATCACATCTCTTGCCAATAGTTCCGGAGTCTTAGGCGTTGTGTGCGCCAGTGTGGCCACACCGACGGTATGGAAGCCAACGCCCGGGGCTGTATCTGAACCCTGGGAGCAGATCCTTGGGTGACAGGAAGGCGTGTTTCGGGTGTTTTCGGGCCTTGTTGCAAAGTACCCAGGAAAACAAATCCAACTCGCATTACCGAGATAATAAATTTGACTGAATATGAGTGCTGGGTGAGCGGTGGTAAGTTATGGTGGCGCGCTATTGATGGCGGTGTACTGTACGAGTGCTGTATAGTACTACAACCAGCAACAATAATGAGAATCTCTGCGATAGCGGTAGCATACCGAACAGTAATATTTAGATCTGCAGTACGCATCATCCAATCGTCGCAATTCAAAGCACGCGAGAATGATATTGTCATTGATGCTCTTCTAGTAAAAACGGGATTAGGGGTGCAAGTCATAGAACGAAAAAAACCAGTTTCACCCATTCATTGCGAGACGAGAAAGAGGGGAAAAAGGAAAAGTCCGGAGAAACTACGATTAACATATTCATATCCTAACTGCATTCAGAGCCAACCCGGCATAAACTCCCACCGACAACAAAAAAAAACCTGAAACAAATTCAAGACATGAGTAACTTGACAGCCCAAGAAACGTTCAAAGTCCTAAGATCCTGATAATTCTGACCAACGCCTAGAAATTGCACCGGAATTCCGGTCGCGAAGACCATGCTAATCAGGGTTCCGATCTATAAGCAATTGAATTAAACGTTAGCAATGCTGATCTCGCCTCTGATCGATAGGATAGGTGGGGAGGGTACTGACCATATCACCAACAGTATCGCATTTACTAATAATGAACCCATCCAGCGACCTGTCGCTCCCAAATGCAGCATTGAAATTCCTCGCCTGAAGGACTGAATCGGTTCCCACGAGCGCCTCCCCGACCATGAGTATCTTATCCGGATTGGCAAATTTGGCAAACTTCTCCAAACTGCTCATGAGTCTCTGATCATTGTGTCTTCTTCCAGCGGTGTCGATAAGCACAACATCGTACCCTTCTGCTCCGCCATGGGCGACCGCGTCTTTGGCAATGTTGGCTGCATCTTTCCCGTAGCCCTTTTCGTAGAGTTCGACAACACCCCCCTCGCGCTCTGTGAGTTCTTTTAGGTTGCGCACATGCACGCGGAGTTGCTCCACGGCACCGGAACGGAAAGTGTCGCAGGCAGCTACCAGGACTTTGTATTTGTTTTGGAGCAGAAAAAAGCAGATCTTTGATAGGTTTGTGGACTTGCCGACGCCATTGACACCGACAATGGAAATGACGTATGGGCGGCGGTCGGAGCGCTTGGTTTGGATCTCCCGAAGGAGGTCGAGTGAGTTGGTAGGGGTAAGAATTTTACGAAGGGCAGCCTCGAGGGCAGCTCTAACGGGCACCTCAATTGATTGGAATGATCCAGTCTTCTGTCCGATAAGAGATTTCTCTACGGAATCACAGACTTGTAAGGCTGCCTCTCGGGCAACGTTCTTCTTCAGAAGCTGGTCAAGCATTGCCGCCATAGGTTTTTCCAGGTCGGTTTTCGTGAGCACTTTGCCTCCTACCAAGTTCCGGAAAAAGCTAAATGCACCAAGTCCACCGCTGGAACCACCTGCGCTGGCATCCTTCTGACCAGGCTCCTTGAGTATAGCGCTAACCTCCATATCCAGATCCTTCAACACAAACTCCCCCTTAGAAGTCTTGCTGCCCCATTCTTTCTGATCAACGTAATCCACCTTTCTTGTACTATCGCGCCCACGCTCTGCTTCCTCGTCGGTAGAATTTGTATTAGGGGCCGAATAGTCCAGTACGGCATCTGGATCCCCTTCTTCGGCATTACCATCGGCATCCCATCGGCGCATCCTCTTAGCATTCTTCCCAGACTTTTTACCCTTCCCATTACGAGCAGGCGATACCTCTTCGCCGCTTGATGGATATGCTGCGGATGCATGTCCTCGACGACCCCGACTTCCGCGAACAGGACGCTTGTTAACACGTAGCAGGTGAGGTACGTTACCAAGAGCCGGTGAAATGGGACGAGCGATTTCGGGAGTCGCTGGTGTAGCAAGATTCCCCGAGGGAGCTGGCGCCGTGGCCCTAGAACTGGCTGTTTCAATATCAGCATAGAAGGCGAAAAAAATTGGTAGAAAGATGAAAGTACATTTCATGACACTGGGCATTGGCGGTGGCGGAGGCGCATCCCACTGCTCTTTAACAATGGCAGGTGTAGCCGAGCGACTCTCTGCACCGAATGCAATTGGTCGAGGCCCACCTGCCTTTTTCTCGAGTTCTCGCATTCTGTTTTCAAAATAGCCATCAAAGTGGCACTCGATTGTTGAAGTATGTGGCCTCTTCAGCTGCTCCCCGTACAACGTGGTGAAAAGCTTCTTCACAGTATCCAAGAGTTCGTCGATCCACGTGAGCTGTAAAAGACTCTGATAGACGGCCTGGGGAGGAGGTATTAGCACTCGTTCAATGGGGGGAAGGAATCCTCGGAGGGTAGCGTACAACGAAAATTAGCCCAAAATCGTTTGAAGATGTCCACTTCAGGGTGTAGGAGTCTTTCTTGTACCACTTGCCATCGCTACCGGGCTGCGCACGCTCTTCAATCAAGACATCACTGATAAAGCTATTGACGATGCTTGGGTTTACTGAAGCATATTTTTTTGACCAGAGGAGGATACCGGAGGTGGTTATTATCTCGAAAGAGTCCAGCGCAGACCGCGCAGCATCCGCCATGATGAATAATTTTCGAAGAGAACTCCTATGAGATAAAAGGGAGAAGATGGGAAGATAGGTGAGTGAGAGATGGATGAGGGAAGGAAGGAACGAAAAACAAAAAGAGGAAAAGCTGATAAATGATGGAGGTGGACGTAAGAAGCTCTTGTTGTCCTCTTTCTCTCCCTATTGAGCCTCGTGGCTCATATTGCTTTTGCTCTCTTCTGGAATGCCGGTACTAGACATCTTATCAAGATAATCTATTGATCTAATCTAATCACATGGCATGACCTCTGCCCCACCATAACTTTTTGAGATCCCCACCCGAGCTCTCCACAGCGCTGAAGGGACGATAATAATTACTCGAGTATCATGTTCTGTCCACCCGCCTCTCGGGAACAGAAGAAGGAAATTACCCGCACATCACCACCATCACCACCATCATCACCCCCAACACACTTTCTTTCTCTCAAGTGCTACAACCACCACCATTCCGACTTCCCCCTCTCCCTCTTCCTTCCCTCTCTAGTGCACGGCAATCGTTTTTTTCCCATTCTCACCAGAATCTTTCAATCAACTCTTGGTCCCATAGTACCGGTAGCTTTTTTTTCGCCTGTGACGTTACTAGCTTGTCGGTGATTCACTACTACTCCCCCTACCATAAATTTAGACCTTCAGTTGTTGTTAAACAGCTATTATTACCGCCTTACCGTGAGTTGCCCTAATTTTCCTTCCTCACAACCTCCACCTACTACCGATCTCTCAAGCGTTTCCAATGTCTCCAATCCCTTTTGCTAAAATTGCTTCCCAGCTCATCCATCACCTTCCACCTATTCAAAAATGTCTAATCCGGGTTCCGCTCAGCCGGCATTGTCGACCGCATCGAATGTCATAATGATTGATAACTACGATTCCTTTACTTGGAACATTTACCAATTTCTCACACTGGAAGGAGCTAAGGTTACCGTTTACAGAAACGATAAAATCACTTTACCTGAATTGATCGCTCTGAGTCCAACCCAGATTGTTATTAGCCCTGGCCCTGGCCACCCGATCACGGACTCAGGCGTCAGTATTGAGTGTGTCAAGCATTTCGCTGGGAAAATACCCATTCTTGGAGTCTGCATGGGCCAGTAGGTCACTCGCTCTTTGGCTTCTACTCTCTCTCACAAGTGGAATCTCTCCAAACTATGGTATCTCGGCTAACTTACTTCTCGCAGGCAAGCGATCTTCAGCGCTTTTGGTGGTACTGTCGATTATGCTGGGGAAGTCGTGCATGGAAAAACATCGCTAATAAAACACGATACAAAGGGAATCTACCGGAATATCCCGCAAGACATTGCGGTAACCCGATACCATTCTCTAGCTGGAACCCATGCTACACTCCCAGCAGACCTAGAGGTTACATCCCGGACCGACCGGGATGTTATTATGGGAATTCGCCATAAAGAGTATGCCATCGAGGCCGTACAATACCACCCTGAGAGTATTCTTACGGAAGAAGGACGAATGATGTTCAGAAACTTCTTGGAGATGACTGCTGGTACTTGGAAGGGGTGCGAAGTCACCTTGAATACCGGTTCTCTGGAAAACACCACTCCCGATCCGAATAGCGCTGCAAAGTCGGAATCGATACTTGACAAAATTTATGCCCATCGCCGTGCCGTTGTGGCGGCTCAAAAACTTTTACCATCCCAACGCCCGGCAGACTTGGAGGTTCTACACTCACTATCAATAAGCCCACCCTTGATCAACTTTCCAGCCCGTCTGCGCGCGGTATCTACTCCATGTGCTCTGATGGCTGAAATCAAGCGTGCCTCGCCTTCAAAAGGCTCCATTGACATGGACGCATCTGCCGCAGTCCAGGCCCGTACATATGCACTCGCCAGTGCTGCAGCAATATCTGTACTCACCGAACCTGAATGGTTCAAAGGCAGCATTGATGATCTACGCGCAGCAAGGCAAGCGGTGGATGGAATGCCCAATCGTCCGGCAATTCTACGAAAGGAGTTCATTTTCGAGGAATATCAAATTTTGGAAGCAAGATTGGCAGGAGCCGATACGGTGTTGCTTATTGTGAAGATGTTGAGTGACGAAGAGCTAAAGAGGTTATACGACTACTCTAAATCGCTAGGGATGGAGCCTTTGGTGGAGGTGAACAGTCGGGAAGAGATGGAAAGAGCTCTAAAGGTCGGGTCTACAGTCATTGGGGTTAATAATCGGGATTTACATTCCTTCAAAGTGGACCTCGAGACAACAAGTGGATTGGTAGGAATGATTGATAAGGAAAAGGTTGTTCTATGTGCCCTCAGTGGTATCTCTGCCCGAGAGGACGTCAAGAGATACGAGATTGAAGGTGTTGGAGCAGTTCTTGTCGGAGAATCCCTGATGAGAGCTGGGAAAAATGTGAAGACCTTCATCAACGAACTCCTAACCGACTCGCCCACCCCAACGAGTGCTCCCCACAAGCATGGGGTCCTTGTCAAGATTTGCGGCACCCGTTCTGTCGAAGCCGCAAAAGTAGCTGTAGAATCCGGCGCAGACATGGTCGGAATGATCCTTGCGGAAGGCACAAAGCGAACCATCGATCCCGAGACCGCTAAGGCCATCTCCGATGTTGTCCGCTCAACCCCCAAGGGTGGAGTCTCCGACACACCCATTGTCCCCAAATTCGCAGCCAATCCCCCACATTCGTGCCCAAAAATCTCAGCAGAAGGTTGGTTCGAGCACTCTGTCAAAAACCTCATCCACCATCCAAAACGCTCCCTCCTCGTCGGCGTCTTCCGCAATCAGCCTTTCTCAGCAGTTTTAGCCCTCCAGCAAGCTCTAGCACTAGACATCATCCAACTCCATGGCTCAGAGCCCCTGGAATGGGCTCGTCTCCTGCCAGTCCCTGTCATCCGCCGCTTCTCTCCAGGTGAAGATGGCCTTAACAAATCCGGCTACCACGCAATACCGCTTCTGGACTCTGGCATCGGTGGTACAGGAGATCGGGTAGACCTCAGTGAAGTCGAGAACGTACTTGCGGCTGGAGTCCCGGTCATGCTAGCTGGCGGCCTCAACCACCATAATGTGGAAGAGATAAGAATTGGAGGCCTGCTCGAAAAGGGCATTATCGGCGTGGATGTTAGCAGTGGGATTGAAACAGATGGGAGACAAGACCTTATAAAAATTAGGAGGTTTGTGTACAGGGCCAAAGGGAGGGCCTGATTTCACCCCCCTCGCCGTCTTGTTGTACCTATCTGGTTGTTGCAGATTCTCAATGTACTATCCCGGTCAATCGTGGGGAGTTTCGTTCTTTTATTTTTTTATTTTTTCCAAAATCTGTGGAAGCTAAGCTATCTACTACTAGTTAGTACTCATGCGATAATGCGTGATGTTCGGGTCATTATGGCTTTGTCGGGTGAAATGCTCCTCCCCCTTTCATGTGATACCCGTTCTATTCAAGCAAGCAACAGACAAGTGTATCCTAAGAGGTATATTGTATAGCCGCTTCTGTGCGACTCGGTGAAACAGAACCTAATAGCGAGTGATAAAATATGACTCTATCCAATGCTCGATCCGAGTTCCTGTGGGGCTACCTTGCCGACAACGAGAATTACTCCGCTCACAGATGCCCGCCCTTTGTGGATTATGAAACCGGCTTCTATCATGGCCCGATCCCGCGTTTGCCGTGCGCCGAGTTAAGGTCATCGACAGATCACAGATCATAGATAGCTAAGGCACTGTCGAACTTGTGGATGACCACGCTACCGATTACAGCCAGAGGATGCGGTCTCAATATGAAGGGCGTGGAGTGGAATTGGTCCCCATCATGTATGATATTTAAGCCCGGTGGTTTGTTACTCTATACCATGCGAAGAACAACGCCCCTGCTCCAACACCATACACAAGAGGTCACTCCTACAGCACCTGATGACTACTGCCCATGTGCCCATATATGGAATCACATCATACGGAATCTCACATGGCAGCACGAAATATGGAACAACACAAACCCCCCATCCATCCATTTAAGTGTTTCCAAGGCTAGACAGGATATTCCCTTCCACGCTAACGTTTGCCTTTTCCGATCCGGGGGGGGGGGGGCTGCCCTATCACTCGTGCAAACCAGTGCGCAGCTAGTTTCTGTACATAAAGTTTTATGGACACTGCATGACGTTCCCCACATTGTGATTTTTTTTGTTTTTGAAGAGTAGTCATGAATCGTCACTCGGATTGAGAATTTCCCGCGAAACCGCGAGAGAGGAGCATGATAGATGGATAGAGAGAACAAGTGATAAGCATAGATAGATACGTAGAGATATACCATACCACAATAAGCTCAAGCACACCGGCGCGGGAGCGAAAAGGGGGAACGGGTGGTAAAAATGAATTTCTTCAATATCCAACACGCTACCCAGCACCATAATTGCGAAAACAACTTCCTTCTGTGCGATATAGCTTTATGCATCCGCTTGGTGCCTCGCCCCCCCCCAAAGCCACCCCATGCGCTGTCTTCGGCCTGGGAGCGAACAGGCATAGCGCTGATTGGTCGAGAGATATCATACCATCGTACACACCCACCTACTCCCCAACTTCTCTCAACGAAATCTCCATCAAGGAGGCCTTCCACCACAAAAGTTCGCATCACAGTACACAACTCCAGTTAGCTCTTCTACTACTACTACTAACTCAGTATGACACCCCACCACCAGTCCCTGCAAGACTCTTGCCAAAGAATCTGGGTACTGTACTTCCTCCGTTCGCAGTTAGCAGCGGACGCCATCAGACCTTTTTCTCCATCGATGCGGGTCCACCCCACCATCCCTTGGGAGATGCCCACCCCACCACCCACACCCGACAGGTAGTTCATTCGCCCGTGTCGGCTCCCACGTGTAAAGCGTGGTGATGCGGATGTGAAGTGAAAATGCCCCCCGGACAGGGACGTTTTCACCGAGGGGGGTTTGCGGAGCGTGCATGGGGTACAGGGACAGTCCTATGTTAAAGGCGTGAAGGAAATAAAGTATCACATATTGGGGAATGGGAGGTTGGAATCCCAAGGATGAGACTTGGCTCGACTGCTGGCAGCCCGGACGTGGGGGTTGCTTCCTGCAGATTAGGAATGGGGGGCAGTCGTCAGGCACCCGGACGGTCGGAATGGTATGTACGGTACAATGCTAGGACATGTGTGATGCAACGGAAGAAGGCGACAGAAACCAATCTTCATGACATACCAAGATCCTGCTCGGGCACTAATTACCTCACTCTCTAGTTTGGCTCAACGAGTCACCAATGCCCAGAGTACCGCATGCCCGAGATTTTCGCGACACCAAACGCACAGGTGCGGGAACTAGAACGAGTGATCATGTATGGACACTATACTTTCAGTCTAAATCGTGTGGCCAATTGATTGTAGATCACCGGTTACCCCTAATAGAGTAAACAATAGAAAGCGAGGCCCTTCCATAGATATTCCGGGTTTGATACGGCCGAGATGGTAGCGTGGGTGACTATAAAGCAATCTGCAACTAACGAGTCGGTCATCCATCTGATATAAAGCTCCTCCGTCCTGCTGTGGGGCGCGATGGGAGTTCAAAGAGACTATAACAATCTCCCGCGGGGCAGCGAGCACCAAAAAGCAAGATCCCATCTTCAGCCCCAAGGCTGTCGGGAGCGTGTACCAGAAGATGAACAGGAACCCAGACGGCGCTCACAGTACCGCACAAGCAACGGAGTAAGTATGATACCCGTAAATGTATTTCTAGCGATCTCAACGCTGCCCAGAAGCCCATGCAAGGGATATGGCAGCGATGGACCAAAACACAGGGGTTGAAGATCCCACGATACGCGTAGTCATCGCGCTGAACTGGTTATCCCGTTGGATTCCCGAGCTGTGTCCGATCCTGCTTCTCTGATTACTTGTGTGCTCGTTTGATATCGTGCGGCTTGCGCATGCGCGGAGGGCTAGCTGCTAGCGAATTCGCTGATAGGGTAGAACATATCCCTAGCATCGGAAGATATAGGCGTATCTCCACCACCAATGCGGTGAAAGTGCCACGGCCAATTCACGGCTGTCATTCAGTCAGTAGGCCACATGCCCGCAAGAGTCTGGAAGCGGATGTCAGATATCGAGAAGCGAGTGATCCAACATGATGCCATCTTCCCTACTTCCCCCCTCCCCTCATCAATCCCAAAAGCGGATCCGTCGGGAGCACCCAAGGAGTGCCCTTCCCAAAACCTTGACATAACGCATGACGTCCCGTAGGCCACCAGAGCACATTTTCTACTCCATCCCCCGTCCGACCCTATCTCCACAACAGAAGGCTGCCATTGAAATTTCCCGGATAAAAAATTACCCCGTCCATCGAAGAAAGCGGAGGGGTGGGGTGAAATATATGTATACATATATATATAATTCCCCCAAACGGGTGATGCTCACGAAGATATCGCCCGCGCGTAATGCCTCCCGATGGAATGGAATTCCGCAAGAACTCTTGAAAGTGCACTGCCAGATAGATCGCCAGCGGAAAACAGCACGTCGGCCCCAGCGGCCTTTAGGTTGACGGGTTAGCTACCAGGTTGTGAATACCGGTTACCGGCTAATGAAGCCCCAGCATGTCCGGTGGGCCGATCCTGTACTCGAGTATAGCACCGTACCGCATACCGGTAGTGTCCGTGTCGAGAAAGAAGAAGAAAAGTCCCTATCCGAGCTCTAGAGGGGGCTTTTCGTTATCCGAGTCCGGAGATTGCAGGGCCGGTCGGGGTTGGTGCATTTCAAGAGTTTTTGGAATCCACGATGAGAAGAATTTGGAAACTCACGGCCACGGTAAGTACTCTATCTAATATACTCGAGTACTTGTATCCATCCACGACTGCAAGGCATGCTAATCACTCGAGTACGGTACAGTAACAGTGCTCGTACACTATCCAACGGATGTGCCGAATACTCGAGCACAGTACGAGTACAGTACCGGTACAGTACTGTATCTCACCCATTACTTGTACGAGTACAGTACACAACACCCGCCCTCCCACACACAGCGCACCGGCAGGTACACCGCGAACGTTTCACGTTAAATAACGCAAGGGCACAGTGCAGTTTAGTACTACGAGTAGTACGGGTACAATCACAGTGACTGGCCGGTAGTGCTCCTTCGGGAAAGAAACTCGACCCACGTGATGGCGAATAAAATTGATGTTGTACCAGTACTCGAGTACAGTATATGATGGATGAAGAGAGATACTCCGAGACGATATCATAAGCCCACTGAAGGGAAAAAACGGCTTTTCCCGTCGGCCACCTTCCTACTCTAGCACCAGCCACCCCCCCCGCAGATCCGCAAGTGTTTCCCCCTGAATTACCCCAATCCGCCGTGGAGTTGCCTAAAAATAGAAGTAGACATGATCATGACGGGAGGTGCGTGATAGACTACCGATGGTGGGGGTTGTCTGCTGGTGAAACAGGCACTCGATGATGGAAACACCCGTAACCCATTCATTGGGATTGTTCTTCTTTGTGGGTATGATACCTACCGTAAGTAGATCTACCCATCGGGCAGAAATTCTGGCGGATGGGGGAGGTCGATTGGTGGTGCGATTGGTGAGACGTATTGGATGAATATCATAGTCCACTTCAGTCCTCCGGTTAGTTAGACCACCACCGAATCCAACCAACGTGGCCAACTTATCACACAGAACAGTTAAGCACGTGACCAATCTCGAGCCATCTTTTTTGCTGCACCTCCTCCCCACTCCTTACCCTTATTACGAGCAGCGAGTACTTCTTGACTACGAGTACTGTACTTGTACCAATGTCCCATTCTGTCCGCACCAATAAACGTGACCACGAGCACATTGCAGTGCAGAGCCCTATATATATCCAACAACCAATGCGATAATAAATTTAACCCCCAGCGCCCCACAAGGATAATGAATTAGGGTAGTATCATATACGTACGTACAGTTGATTCGGTCATCATAGATATTTTTATTCCTAGAACGCTCACCCCGCCCGGCGGGAACTCACTGTTGTACTGTACCATATGATGCGCGCACGGGTTACGGCATGCATCGCCGGTAGTGGCGGTAACGTTTCCGTACAAAGAGGAAAGTAGGGAGGGAAGGAGAGAAAAGTCTTGAAACAAAAAAATGTAGGTTTTGAAACGGCGGTGCGGGTGCGGGTATTCATTTTATCCACGCGCTACCATAATAATAATTATTATCTGGGAGGCGGAGGTTCGAAGGCGGAGGTTCAAAGTTTGCGGTACTGCACGGTATATACGATACTGTATGTGTACTGTACAGTACAGTACAGTACTGTACAGTGCCATCCGTGCCCAACGAATCTGCATGGCATTGTGTGGTACGGCAAGTGGACGGTGATATGGACCAATCTTGATTTCATATGATAATATTCTATGGGTCCACTTTTATTTTCTCCATCTTACCTACCGTACTCGTAGTAT